TATGGGAATGCCACTCGTTTTTGAAAGACGTAATACACCCCCAAATGCTGCTGGATTATTTACATCATAATATATTTTTTCTAGAATTCTAGCCACTTGTCCGTTTTTAGATCGTGAGCTTTCCATGTTCTTGAATAGGGTCCAACAAGCGAAGGATGACTTCGAGTCTTCTTTCCTTTTAATATTCTACTTTCCGATTCTTGTAAAATTTCTTCACTTCTGCTTTTCTCTCGTGTTAGTTCGCTTTTTGTTTCGCGCAACTTCGATACTAATTTCTTATTTCCTATCCAAGACAGAGGAATATTTATTTCTTTAATAGCTTTTAAAAATTCACTAAAATGATCGGGTTCAATTTGAGATTTTGTATTTCGAAACATGTAGGAGAAGAAATCGGCTACTCTGCTGCCTCTGACAGGAATACCATCATGGGTGAATTCTCCCTTTTCATTCCAGTAATATTGTCTTGTTTTAAGTTTTTCAACAATCAGCGGTACATATTTGGAATACTGATGAGGTGATGAAACCACAATATCTCTCACCTTGGGATCGTTGTCGTAATCCTCTTTCAAATGTCTCTTTTTGTCTTCCTTCTCATCATCTAGTAGTTGTTTTCATTAGTAATGCTTACCCGCACTGGATCTGCGGGCGTATGAATAGTTTTTTGATAGCGAGTGATAAGTTGACTTAATAATTTTACTTTCATATCATCTGGTAATTTGTTTCTCTCTAACAAAGTTTCAATATCATCCTCAATGCGAATTTCTGGTTTGTGCAAATGATACGATGAAACCAACTCTTCAGGAATAAGTGCTACCTTTCTCGCCATGATATCCTTTTTCTTTTTTTTAAACTGTAATAATGTATATCATGAAATTTTTTTTTTGCTTATAGTGTTTGTTCAATATGTTAATAATTTTTCTTTATATTCTTTTACCAATAGCACTCCCAGCAATACCAGCTAAAGCAGAAATGATAGCAGGAGCTATCAGCGGCAAAAAACCACCAGTCTGATTTATTAAAAGTCTTTTTTTACTTTGAATCGAAGACGTTCGTTTGGCCAATCTTCTCACGATATTTTTATATTTTTGAAGTTTTTTTTACGTTTACAGGAAGATGTCCAGCTAAAATGTTTAAACAAATTTCACACAAAGAAGCGATTTGTGCGTTATTTGCAGTTCTCAGTAAGGCTCGTTTTTGATTAGGAGATGATTTGGCTAACACTTGTAGAAAATGATAGTTCTTTTTCATTTTGGACGGTAAATCCAAAAAACTCCTTCATTAGTAGGAAATAAATTCCCTCGCAGACGATACTCTTCCTCCGTCTCGGGATGTAAATCAATAACTAAATATTTATATGGTTCAGCAGTAGCTTTTATATAAGCATCCAATAAAAATTGTGAATTACGTGGATATATTTGTCTTCCTAGACAATTAATTTGACTCATATCTCTTGCATTTTTAAATAAAATAATGTAATGAGAATTAAGACTAATGTCTCTCATAACTTTTAAACGAGGAAATAAATTTTGTAGTATTAGTATTACACTGATATTGCAATGATGAGATGCGGCTGTGAATAAATCTGCAATTTTTTCATTTAATCGATGCATTAAATCATCTATGATTATCAAATCTCCATTTTCATATACTTCTGGCAACCCGTGTATAAATTCAATATTTGGTTCTTCTAGAAACCATGGTGCACTATATGAATAACACCACTTAATGTTTTGTTTCGGAATATCGAAGATATTATTTTTTATCATTTGTCGAACTAGTGATGTTTTTCCAGATTGACTCGGACCAACAATCAAACACGAACTTGGATGTTTTAACTTTAACATCTTCTCAACAGTGTTTTTTTTATAAGTTTTTATTTTTAATAAATTGTTTTAATACCGTTTAACAACAACGGAAGGTAATGTATCTCATCTCCGCATAATGTTCCTCGAATAAATAAATTTTTTGTTGTTATATCTGTGTTTTTATCGCTGTGGATTTCTCTCTTTTAAAAAAAAATGTTTCAGATCCTCATTCCTTATTGACTATTTGATTGTATATGGTTTTTCGAATTTTTTAGGAAAAAAAAATAAACATACAATTTAAAAAAAAATGTTACTGTAGAATGAAAAGTGTGCTTTTTCAAAATAAATAAAGATAGAAGAAAGTAAAGAGAAACAACACAAGAGTTTTTGCAATTTATCCATATCTTTTTTATTATTTTTTCTTTAGATTACATGTTTACATTGATAACAAACTTTCTTAAATTCATTTTGGTTTAACTGTACTCCAATAATTTCGGGTTTCAAATAATCAGTTTCATTTCTCCAAAAGTAACGTAAATCATATATCCTTTTTCCATCCTTAATACAAATATGTAGAAATATTCTTCTCCCAACATGTTCAGAATATATGCAAGATGTTTTGTTCAAATCTACTTTTGGTTCCTCTTCTTTCTGTCTTTCCACACAGTTTAAACATATGTATATTAGAATTTCTATGATACAAACACTGAGACAAATTAAGATTATTTTTTTTTCGATCTTGTAACGTCCACTTCATTTTTATAGTCTTTCTATTACGACAGCAACAACTCAAATGAACCTTCTCCAAACATTTCATGAAAATTATATTAAAAAAACACAAGAAAAATCATTTTTTTCCCTTACAATTTCTTGCAAATATGTGCTAAATATTTTAAAACCAATCGCTTGTATAACGTATTTATTACATTTTCAGAAAAATGTTTGTTTAGTATTACATCGCATTCAGATATTTTATGCATATTTCTTGAGATAAACTCTTCTGATATTTCTTGATGAATTAGCACTTGATTCCAGTCAATGACATCTTCTAGCTCCTCAATTGTATCTTCATCCAGCTTTTGATATTTTGCAATACGCGACATATCCAAAACTGCTGCATTATCTCTGATGAATTTTCCACTCAAATCCTGATACTGAGAAATTTCTTTCCAATCAACTTTGTGAGCAAACTGAACCATAAAATCTTCTGATAAAGACTGACATCTAGATATAAATTTCCAATTCACGACATCTTGGTGGGCTTCAATAAATGATTGAGATAAAGTTTGATATGCTGAAATGTTATCCCAATCCACAAGGTGTTGAAATTCAAGAATAAAACTTTCACTTAATTTCTGATATTTTGAAATAGTCGTCCAATTCACCATGTTCTGTAAATCTCTAATAATCTCTTCGCTTAGTTCATTTTCCTTCCCAAAATTTTCCCAATTCATTTCTGTTTTCGACATCTTCATCAATTAAAAAGCACTCGTCAAATCAGGTTATCTAATCGTTACGCCTTATTAATATAGTCTTTTTTTTTCGAACATTTCTTCACTTCTTTTCTTTCTGCATGTCAAAACATGTCTATTAAAAAGTATTTCAAATTCCGCAATTCTTTGACGAAAAACGTTCAGCGTCTATTTCCCAAAAACCTCTTCGTTCTTCACTTTTGGGGATATAGATCACATCGACATGATCCGAAAATCTCACGCATTTGCTCATTTTTTAATATATTTCTATGATATGTACAAAATAAAAAAAAATATTATTCAATATGCATCAGTCAAATTTTGTTTTCCCTTCTCATTTTTTTAAACATCAAAATAAATGTTTCTTTTGCAGAGCGAATACGGAAAGATTTCATGAAGATGGAAAAGGAAAATACAGAAGGAAAAAAGCGATATTTTGTTTTCCCAACGAATGTCTACAATTAATATGCGTTTCTTTTCGTGTCAGTACACACATAAATTTGATATTTGAAATAGTTTATGTGCGTACTGGCACGCCAAGCAATGCACACATCAACACTCCATCCAAGACGAAGATATCTCCATATCGAAAAAATCTCAAAATATTCAGAGAAGAAGAATATTCACAGTTAATATGCGTTTCTTTTCGTGTCAGTACACACATAAATTTGATATTTGAAATAGTTTATGTGCGTACTGGCACGCCAAGCAATGCACACATCAACACTCCATCCAAGACGAAGATATCTCCATATCGAAAAAATCTCAAAATATTCAGAGAAGAAGAAGAAGAATATTCATAGTTAATATGCGTTTCTTTTCGTGTCAGTATGCACATAAATTTGATATTTGAAATAGTTTATGTGCATATTGGCACGCCAAGCAATGAACATATCAACAATTTGTCCAAAACATTCCCAAGAATCGAAAATATAACTATGTCTTATTATGCCAATATGCTCACAAAAAAGCTGTAAACAATGTATATACACCAAAACATCATAAAAAGCATATCTTTCGTTTCATAAAAGTAGGAATCACAGAAAAAAATATATGACATGACTAAACATTTCAAAATCATAATAATCTGAAATTATTACATATTTTAACTCAACTCCGACAACATCAAGTTTCCTTACACACCATCGACTCCATAGCCACTAAAGAGAGCAAACCACCATCGCCACCATCGCCACCATAGCCACTAAAGAGAGTAAAACCAACATCGCCACTAAAGAGAGTAAAATTCTATCCAGATGCAATCAGGTATATACTACTCCCATCCATGTGAAAAGGACACCCGGCTGGGTGCGGCCTTTAGTGGGGCGTAATCTTCCAAGTCCTGGTCATCGTCTTTGCTTTCCTGTCAACGGTTCTTCCTTTTGTTTTTTAGTCTCGGTAGGTGCCTCGACCCCCAGTTCGTCGTGGGTCCAGGGACTTACCTCCATTGGTGTCCTTGCAGACAGGCCACTCGGCTGAGTGTATCTTTAGCCTGACACCAATTTCCATCCAAATCGGCTAGTTGCACGCGCTAGTTTCTCCGCCTATCCTTGTCATGTTTTTTTTCTTTTTTTTTCTTCCAGAACCACCGACGTTCCTGTTGGATGCTCCAACCTCCTACTCTACTGATCTGATCTTGCCAAGAGTGCCAGATTGCATTTACTTTTACCTGTGCTTTGTTTTTTTTTGTTTTCTTGTAGTATTCCCTGTTTAGGTCTACCTGATGCCTGGAACTCCGTCTGCTGCTTCTTCGTCAGTGCCTTTCCTCCCTGGAATGGAACGGCCGCCTCGGATCCCGTCGCCCACGACACCTGGTCTGCCGCCTATGCCTTCCTCTCCTTGCCTACTTCCTGCTGTACACCGTAGCCCGGAGACGCATGCCTTCCTGGAGACGCGCCGGAGACGCTTCATCTATGTTGCCGGTTGCAGTCCTCCGGTGACCACGCCTGCTCCTGGACCTTCCAGACCCATCGCTCCACGACGGCACTTGTCTGTGTCTGCCACGCCTACTGGACCTCCGATGCTCCAAAGTGGATCCCTGCACCAGATGCTGGCCCAAATCACCGCCAGAACACTTGCAAAGTCTCGGGTCTCACACATTTCTACATCTCCTGGGTCTTCGTCTGAGACTCATGCTCCTGTGGTACTGTCCAAGACCTCCTCTACCTCTGCTTCTTCTTCACCGGATACGAATCCTGCCATCGTCACCAGTGGTGCCTCCTCGTTTCCCTGCAACATCTGTAACAGGAAATTCTCTCAGCGTCGTCGCCTTAAGAAACACCGCAGGACTCATAACATCCGGCCACCACTCCATCCTCCTCTTCAGGAATCTACTTCATTGGCTTCTCAGATTGCCCCTGATGCTTCGACGACAGATTCATCAGTTGGACACCACACACGTGCTCGTCTTGCCGCCGGCCATTCTTGTGCCACGGATATCACTTTTCCTCCTCCCGGCGAGATCCTACCTTTTGCCACGGCTCTGCAGACCCGATCCTTAGACACATCGGTCAACGTCCATTCTGGGAATCCTCTCCCTTCATCGATTCAGCCTGTCCTGCCTCCCACGTGTTCCGCTGAAGTCTCGTCGATGTCCTCTGCTTCCTCCTCGCCTGTGCTCTGCATCGACACATCCCCTCTGCCTTCTGAGCCTGCTACGCCTGACGTGCCTGCGCCGACTACTACCCTGTCATCGCCTCCCCGCGTTGAATCTCCTGAGGATGTCCACCCAGACCGCCCTCCTTCTGTGGCTGATGACTCCGCCAGTGACATCCCTCCTTCGTCTTGTCGTCGCGGCTCAATTGTTCATCTTGTATTTCCGGTTCTGGACACTCTTCCCTGCACCGAGCCACACTGCTTCAGGACTTTCCACTCCCGGCAATGGACCCAGTTGAGACACTCTCTATGTCGGCACCTTCATTATGCCCATGGGATCGACGTCTCCAGGACTAAGAACTGGTGTTCTCACTGCAGTTCACCCATCGCCATGAAAGTTTTCGTGCCACCCGTGTTTCAAGACCCGCCCTCCCCTCTTTCCGTCTGGTATTTCCCATAGATGGAAATGCCGCATCTGCGACTTCTCCTGCCAGACGAGAGGAGGTTTTCTCAATCATCAGGCCCGGCACAAAAGGGAACGACCTTCGACCTGTTTCTCAGCCTCCGCCTCCTAATGCCTCTCGGGAACCTGCAGCCCGCCAGCCCCGGCCACACACGCCTTCTTCATTTCCTCCTCGCAGTGTGGAATCTCCACAGACGTTACTCGCCTGTGATGCTACACCTCGCTCCACACCAGATGCTACCAGTATGCCACGTACAACTCCTCTTCCTCCTGCACCTCCTGATGTTCCTGCTCCTGCTTCCTTGGTTTCTCCTCCTCGTAATCCTCATAGGCTCTGATGGGTGGACGACTGTTGCTCCTGCTCGCCGCCGCCGTCGCCGTCGACCTGCACATGACGCCACGCCTGTTGGGTTACCTGCTCCTGAGCTGCCTTCATCTTCATCACCTGGCTCGTCTAGCTCTAGCTCTCCTGGGCCTTCCGTCTTCCAGCACCAGTCCCCGCCTGATGCATCCATGGCTGCCTCCGCCTCCTCCTCGCCGCCTGGGTTTGCTGACGAGCCCGGTGTGGACAACCTTCCTTCCGAGCCTCCTTCACTGGACTCACCGCTTCTCTCTTTCCGTCCACGGCTTTCCGACATCTTCTCCTCTGACCCCTCCCGTAATTGGAGAATGTTCGAAGAATGCCTAGACGATCTCATCTCTGCTGCCTCGGACATAGTAAAACTTCCGCCTGCCTCTCCCTATCGACCCCGGAAATCTCCATCTATCAACAATGCAAAGGAGATTCAACGCCTCTACAGAAGGAACCGGAGAAGAGCTGTCCGACTTATTACCGAGGGTGACTCGCCACTCTGCGCCATTGACAGAGAGGACATTGTGAGTTTCTTCTCCCCGCCTGCGTCTCTTCCTGTCGCTAATGCCTCCATCTTCAACTCGCCTGCTGCTACTCGACCAGAAGTTGACCTCTCTCCCTTCAGCCCTGCTGAAGTTTCCACTCGCCTGAGAGCCTGTGAGAATTCCGCCCCTGGGCCAGATAGGCTTTCCTATCAACACTGGAAGTCACTTGACCCTGAGGGCCATATTCTCTCCCTCATCTTCAACATCTGCCTCAAGGCTGGAAAGGTTCCTGATGCTGTGGAAGGACACGACCTCTGTCCTGATATTCAAGAAAGGAGACAGAAAGGACCTCCGCAACTGGCGCCCCTATTGCTTTGAGCTCAACAATTGCCAAGCTATTCACGGGCTGCCTTGCTAGAAGATTCTCTGCCTGGCTCATCGAGCACGATGTTCTCTCCCCTGCTCAAAAGGGTTTTCTCCCTTATGACGGGGTACTCGAGAACAACTACACATTGTTGAGCAACGGATCCGTCTGGCCAAGAAGAGGAAGACTGACCTATGCATCGCTTCCCTCGACTTGAGTAATGCATTCGGCTCTGTACCTCATAATGCTCTTTTCGAAGCTCTTGCCTCTAGTGGTGCTGGCCCCTCCCTTCTCTCCTTAGTGAAGTCCTTCTACACAGATTCTTCCACGAAGTTCCTGTGTCACGACGGCCTCACCGATGCCATCCCGATCTCCAGAGGTGTACGCCAGGGATGCCCACTCAGCGGTCTGCTCTTCAACCTGGCCATTGATCCAGTGCTGCGTTCCATCTCCAGCTCCACCACTGAGCACAGCATACTTGCGTACGCTGATGACTTCCTTCTCCTTGCCTCCTCGCCTGCTACGCTGCAAGAACACCTTGACACCGTGCATTCTGTCGCCTCCCAGTTACATCTCAATTTTAACGTCACCAAGTGCTTCTCACTGCACTTATCGGGCCTTCCTCCTGTTGGTACCCGCCCTACCTCTTTTAGCATAGCTGGTACCAGTTTTTCCCATCTGAACGACGGAGACGCAGGAGTGTTTCTCGGTAAACCTATTGGATACCAGCTGCCTGCCGACGATGATGCCGCCGCCTCCTTCAGACGATTTGGCAAGTCTCTGATGGACTCCATGCTCGCTCCATGGCAGAGGATTGATGCCATGAAATCTTTCTTCTTTCCCCTCGCTCTCCTTCGACATGCGAGTTGGGAAACATAAAAAAGGGACCTGGTCACGACTTGACGACTTCCTTCGGCCTTTGTTCAAGTCTACACTCTACTTGCCATCTGAAGCTGCTAATGAGTTTCTCTACGGCGATGCCAAGGCCGCCTGCCATGGGATTCCTCTAGCAGCTGAGGACTCCGACATTGCGCTGGTGGATACTGCTCTCAAGCTACTGTCTTCCCGTGACCCAGCAGTTCAAGCCCTCGCCAAAGACGATATCCACTTCACCATCTTCTCTCGTCTTGGTCGCCTGCCCTCCCCTGCGGAAGTTGCCCTGTACCTCTCTGCCTCTGATGACGGCCCCTTCCATGGTACTTCGAGCTCAGGTTCTTCCATCTATTCTGCTGCACGCTCCGCCTCCCGCCGCCTTGGAATCACCTGGGAGTGCAATAGTGATGGCACCCTCTCGCTTCTCTTCGGCGACTCGTGCTCAGACTGTAAGCAACGGCACCTTGTGTTCCGGTCCCTCCGAAGTTACTTCCGCTCCAAGCGTGCTGCCAAACTTGCCACCTACCCCAACCAGGGAAAAGCTATCGAGTGTGCGGCCGCTGCCAAAGCTAGTTGCCACTTCCACAAAGATGGCCAGTATACCCGCTTCTCTCCGACTGGCGTTTTATCCATCGGGCACGCCTAAATCTGGTGCCCCTTAATGCTGTCCGCCGCCGCTTCCGGGGCCAAACTGGCTGTCGCCGCTGCTCGTACAACTCTGAGACATTGCCTCATGTCCTATGCCACTGTATGCGCTACAGTCGCTCCTTCCAGGAGCGCCACAATAACATCGTCGAGCGCCTGAAGAAAGCAGCCAGTGGCAGATGGAATATCGAAGCAGATAACCGCTCCATATGCGAGCTCAACTTGCGGCCCGACCTTCTTCTCACTAAGGACAGGTCTGCTCTGATTATAGATGTCACTGTCCCCTTTCACAACAGACTTGCCTCCTTTGATGGTGCCCGGCATGCCAAAGAAGCCAAATATGCTCCCCTGGTTGAGCGCCTCAAAGAGTCCTTTGACGATGTCCGTGTTGAGGCTGTCATTGTTGGTGCCCTCGGATCCAGGGATCCCAAAAATGACAGAGTAATTCGAAGACTCTGCTCCAACAAATATGCAGCTCTTATGCGGAAACTTATGTGGAGCGACACTATTAGAATAACGCGTGATTTCTACTACGAACATCTGACTTGGCAAAACCCACGAATTCAGAACCAAGCAGCATAGTATGTATACCACCTTTGCGCGACTCTTTACTATAAGTCATGCCTACCACTGTGAAACCTTCAGGAGTGTTCTCTCCCTGGTCTCTTCTCCCGCTTGGACATTCCAAATCTAGTCATTACCCTCATTTATGTATCTACTCCACTTTGTATATAATTATTATTATTTTTATTTTTTTCTAAATCATTTGTACTTAACAAACCGCACTGTGTGCGTTATTGGATTACTTGTGCCGGTAATTGCAATACAAAAATGGCATATAGCATTGATTTTTCTGTCTTATCAGCTTAATATCTGATACGACGTCGACATGACGTCAAGATATTAAACTAATTTTTGCAGATAGGCTTGTGGTTAGGAATTTATTCCGCCCTCGCCACGGGTTGGCCTGCTATGGCACTACTTTGCAGGATACGGCCCACAATATATCCAAAAAGCAGAAACTTCACTCACCCACTGCATCCTCAGGAAAACGTCCTTTTAAAATGGCCCCTTCAAATTTCAGAAAACCGAAGGTCTGACAACATCATACCTTTGTACGAGTGTGCGGCGACCTGCCTTTTTTTAACTTGCTATTGCTCGGGCCCCTCGTTCTTTTCCTCGGAATGGGAACATTCTGGAGCCTCGGGTTTAACCCTCGTTCTTTTCAGTGTCAAGTTCTGGTTTCTGTAAATACGAAGTTTTATTCGTATTTACAGAAATCCCATAAAATCCACATTTTTTTCCCCGTACTGTTAACAACTTACTCATTCTGTCTGACTGATTGAAGGAAGATCGGCCTCGAAATATCACTCAAATTTCATTTGCAGTAACATTTTTGTCTCATTTCATGTAAGTTTGAGAGAATTCCTATTCACATTTGCCAGATCTTTCCCACTACAGCGCGCGTATACACATTGCTTCTTTTTCAACACACGAGCCTTTTTATTGTAAATAACTCTCAAAAGGGTGTAAAATGTTTGTAGGCACACTGCAGCAACAAAGATTTTTCTGTCTGTTTCCTAATGTTTTGTTTTGATTCTCTGTATGATTTTCTAAACGCCAGCTAATTGTAATGGTCTACAATTATTGTTAAGGATTGTTGTATTTATGTTTTTATTCATTCATTCATTCATTATTTTGTTGTTGGCACATTAATATTAACAAACGGGAAAATGCCAATAGATGGCTGCACTATGCAGGAAGCAGTTTATTCTGAGTTTTGAGATGGCTTGCCCGCCACTAGTGTGGAAGTGTAGAATACAAAGTAATCATTAATTGTAAATTAAAAAGTACTGTTTTATTGTACATATTACAAATGAATTTGTAAAGTGTTTTTTGTAATTTTTCTGTTTGTTTAATTGTTTTAAGTTCCTAATATTTCACTCTGTGTTTTCAAGTGCAACGTTTGAACTGAAGAGAGAGAGAGAGTATCTCTGAGTTGGAAACCATGTGCTGGACTGTGCATGTCGAGTTTGTGTCAATCAAACTCTGGCATTATGTAATGCAGTTTTGGCTGATAAATTTTACTGTCTCAATATTTGTTTAATCACAAAAAATAATTTCTTCCCAAGCATGGGCATTCGATAACTCCAGGAATATTTATTTATTTATTTTTGGTTTTGCTATTTTTATTGCCTTTGTAATTACATTTGTTTTATATTCACCTGCAGTGAAGAATGAGATTTTTCGGAGGAGGAAGCTACTCCAGAGAAATGAA